CCTTAGGAACCTTTGCATTGACTGTCTGAAATCCATCTTCAAAGGTTGATGACCTAGCAAGCCCAATCAAAGGTCGCTTCGACCGTTGCTCGTGTCGGGTCGTCTTGGGTCAGATCCTCCAAGTCCGAATCCAGAGCTCCTTGGCCCAGCCTCTGACATCGTGCGGCCGTAAGGCTCGAATTTCATTCCGCCCGCGAAGAAGCCTGCAGTCAGGCTGTCCTCGGGCGCAAGGGCGCAGCTCACTGGCTGCGATTTGGCCGGAAGTCGTACTTAGATGGTCTGGACGAATCGCTAAATGGCTAGCAACTGTGGTTACAGGGGACTTACAACCATTACAAGTGGGGTACAACCAGGGTTACTAGCCACCTTTCCCAGGCCCATCGTGCCATTTCGGCCTTTCACGCCTGCTTCAACTTGTGGGAAGTTGAAGCCACCTCAGCCCTGTGGACAGCCAACAGCGAGTGTGACCCACGCGGAGGGACCTGCGATTTCTGCTTCAGCATCCGGCCACAGCGGAAAGCAAAGAAGGCTCCATAAACAAGGGCCCCTCGCGCTCGCATGTCAGCTGTTTCCGCATCGCCTTACTTCTCTCCATGTCCCTAGCAAGAACTCCTGGTAGCTCCCGCTGGTTTCCTCCTCAAGCGCCAGCCTTTGGAGACCCCCGGCTCGGCGACTTCCCCAGACCTGGCCGCGGGGCTCCGTAGCAGAGGATGCGCCATCGCGGCAATGCCTCGCCGGCACCTCGAGGAATCGATCGATCGGAGCGTATGGCCCGGCGCGGGGTCCCAGAGTCAAGGCTTCCTCAGAGCTACGTGGTGGCGATGGAACTGAACAATTGCGAGAACTCAAGGTGCAGCGCTTGCCACTTTCATTGAATCAGAAAGGCTCAAGGATGACTGGGGGGGAGGGGACAGCGCCCAACACTTCCACAGATCTTGGTGTCCCAAAATGCGGGGGCGCGGGAGCCATCTTGGAAAACCGACAGTTCTAAGCCCGGAGCAAAAGGCAATGCACCACTCCACCCAACATGGAAGTGCCCAGATTTTTTTTGGGAAGACTACCATCTGCCTTCTAAAAACCCTACCTTTGCACTTCCACGTTTGTCAGGGCAGCGACAACATGGGCAAGGCGCAGTGCTTGAAATGGACGGGCATTTCTGCCATTGCCTGTCCTCGGAGGCCGCGGGCCCCGCGGGCCCAAAAAGCCAAAGGCTTGACCCCCCCCAACTTCCATGCCCCCACTCGCCGCGGTCCGGTCCAATGCCCGCGGCAGAAAAAGGGTGCTATATATTTGCGGGGCTTCGCCCATCAGCCCAGCCAAAGGGAAAAACAAAGAAGAACCACTGAAGGATTTGGGTCATTTGCCACATCCCTGGCTTCACAACAAACGGCTCCAAGCATCTCATCATCAAGCCCGCATCCTCCATCTGGAACGGCGCCATGCCAACCTCGTTGCGCATTTCGCTGATTGCGTCCGAAGGTGGGCGTGACGTCTCTAGCCAAGGGGCCGCAATCTGAACCATCGGCACTGGGATAACCGGGTAGACGGCCTGAGCTTGCAATTGGAGGCAAAAACGGCCCTCTTGGCAAGAAAATCGACCACCTCGGCTGACTGTGAACCTCAATGTCCAACCCCGCTAAGGTGGGTGAGGGTAAAAAGGCCCCCAAAATGGCAGCTCACTCCGTGCTTGTTTCTGGTGGCCATCTTCCGCCGAGGCGCGAAGACTGGCACGTTCCAGCCAAGGTCAAACATGGGGACCTGGGCAACTCTCACTTGCCCAAAGCCCAGAAATAAAGGTTAACCTTTTGGGGCCATGACTAAAACTAGACCAAAAAGGAGAAACCAAAAGGTCAAAAGGCCGGCTTTGGGCAACTGAGAACTTGGGTGTCCAAAGGGCCCCTCCAAATATGGGCCGTTCCTTGAGGCTACTCTTTGGTGTCAGAATGGAGTTTCCCTTTGTTTGCCCCTTACCTTTTATCAACGCAAAGTACCCTCAAAAACGACCCATATTTCGAGGTTGGCAAAACGATATACCTTCTGACACAGTCCATCGTTGACCTGGCACAAGTTGCATCAATGCGCACGAGAGGCGCCTTTACGCCCTCGAAAGCCCCTGGGGCCGCCGCCACATGCGCTGTCATCTTGACTGCTAGCTGAGCGCTTCTTTGCTCAGATTCTCAGCGCGATGAGGCCCATGCTTGCTCCCTCGAGCCACAACAGCGGGTGATGCCTATCTTCACCTCGCGTGGTTGCTTAGAACCCCTTCTGAAACCAACCCATTTCCAGCATGCTGCCCAACCCCCCCACATTTCCCACCTGCTGCCCAACCCCCACACACACACACACACTTGGACACCTGGCTCAAGCAGAACTGCCGCTCCTCGCGACGAGATGCGAGCGCCGGCCTTGCGAGCTCCAGGCCGCGGCACCGGGCTTGCCCAGCAGCGCGATCTTCGGGGCGCCAGCCTCAAAGGAACTCGCCAGGCTCCATGGAGTTCGAGGGAAAAACCGAAGAGGGGCATGATAAACTCCGCCAGGGCTCCCTATATTTCCCCTTGAAACATCACAACCAAGGGACAGTCACCTTTCATGGGCCAAAAAGGTGATGTCTAAAATCACCAAAAAAGGGGAATATAGGGGCCACTGTCCGGGCTCCAAAACTCATTGCCTCACATGGCTCGACCATCAGCCTGGGCTCCGCGCTCATCGAACTGGCCGGCTGCCATGGTGCCTTGGGCCGAAGCTGGGAAATTCGACCTGGGAACTACTCATAACTACTCACTTGCTGGGTGGATGGCACAAAAAAAGTCCAAACTTTAAATTTACCGCTAAAAATGGTCTTCCCAAAAAAAAGAAGTTCATGAACTCAGGAAGTGAGACTAACTGGTAGCCAACTACCTACCTAACCAAGCCAGAACTATCTAACTGCTGAGTCAAACAATGAAACCGAGCAGCTAACCAACTATCCATGCCTTCGGAACCTACCCCATCAAATCGGCTGACATGTAGCGCCAGGAGCCCCAATAGTGGCGGGGCAATGTCAGGATTGACTTGTTGGTCAGTTTATGGCAAACTGTTTAAACATTGGCGCCGTGCCCATGCGGCCATTCGCACGCCCCTTTTGACTGCAGTCATAATGATGCGGGGTTAACCCCGAGCGCAATAGCGCCACCGTGCCAGGGCTCGAAGGCTCGAAATGCGGCGCTACATCCGACAAAACTGCGGGAGGTCAGGCGCCCCCCTGGTTCAGCGCGAAGATCCGCGCGATCTCCTTCATCGGCACGCCTCCCGCCTTGGCCGCGTTGCGCGCCGCCTGCACAGATTTTGGCCGAAATCCGTTGTGGGACGTGGAAACACACTGAAGATTGTTTTGGGGATGAAGCGCATGCTTTTGAACACCTGGGTTGACTGCGTTGAGCCCAAGAGCTTGAGCACTCTGACCACCAACTGGCAGTGCTTCGGTCGACAGGGCATCCCAGTCACCTTCATTATCCTCACCGAGCAGATGTGCTTGGCCCGCGTCGCACGGGTGGAACAAAACAACTGAACCCAAACGAAGCAAAGCTGTAGTGGTTACCCGGTTTGATTGCGGAAGGCCGGCAACAGCCAGCAAAACCCCGCAGATCTGAAAACCGTCTTGAGACGCCGGGCGCAAGCAGCCCACAGCCTCAATACATAGAAATTCTGGACGAATGCAACGCACCCTGAAACAGAGAGACCAAAACTTTGTCACAACAACTCCCTGACAAAATATGCAACCACCATGTTCGGAGGGTGTCCCCATGAGAATCCGCAGGCAAACGGAACCACAAATCGCTTCATTCACCAACCGCTCGCAACTTGATCTAGTGTCTGATTCGCCGAGTTGAATTAAGCAACCTGCGTCATCATCAAAACCCGGTATTAAAATGGTCTACCCAGAACCATGCTTCAAGAAATAACAAGGCGGCCGCAACTATTTGCGGTTGGGATCATCCCTTATTAACCTTCACCCAGGTTTTCAGCAAGTGGCTCATGTGGCTCTACACAAGCCGCATTGGGGCCTGTGCTTGTTAAATCAAGACTAACCCAAACTCCACCGCTTTTCAAGGAAGAGGTTGATTCACCAACTTGGGCCGAAGCAAAAAAAGGCAAGCATCAGCAAGCAGCTCGTCTTACCCTCGGATCCGACGAGCGAGAGGGACGTCGCCTTGATCTCGGCCACGTCCCCACTGGCTGCGGCCTGCGCAAGCTGCTCCAACAGCACGTCGTGCTCGCCTGGGGGGTTGCTGACGGGGCGTTTTTGGGCCCTGAAAACTTGCCGGGGGAGGCACGCACTTGGAAAAAGAAAAAACTCCCAGCAGCAGTTGCGACTTCGACAAAAGTCCAGCTGAAGGCCGCGAAAGCGGAGAAAAACTGGAGGAGAAGAGAAAAACGGCGAGCACTCAAAGCAGCACCAGTTAGTTGTTTTTGTCCCATCAACTGCGACGGTTTTTGGGGCGAAGTGCCCGGAAAAAAGCGATCGCAACTTGGCGTTCCAGGCATGTGCTACCACCTCCTTGCAAACTTCTGAGCAAATTTGGATACAGCTCCTTGGCTTCCTTGGCTCCCTTCCAACCACCAGCTAGGCTTGACGGCCGCCCTTTTTTTCCGGGTTTTTTTTCCCAGCGCTTTTGGGAATTTTACTCCGTTCCATTTTCCGGTCACCTTTGGAGTGGTTTAAGGTGGGTCTAGGGCGCGATTAGGGTTTAGGGTGGCTGGGGGTTCGGGGCCTGGTTAAGGGTGGGTTCTGCGCGGGTTTGGTTGGGGTCTTAGGTAGAGGGTGAGATGGAGCTTGGGTTGGCGCAAGGTTGGTTTAGTTAAGGGTTAAGGTGGGTTTCAGGCGGGTTTAAGGTGGGTTTAGTTATGGTAGGCTTCGGGTTGGTTTAGGTTGGGTTTAGTTGGGTTTAGCATGGGTTTGGGGTGGGCAGGCAAGTGGTTTAGGGTAGGATGGGTTTAGGGTAGGTTGGGTGTGTTCGGGGTTCCTCTCATCCAGGACGTCCTTGGCGCATGAACCGCCACCTTCACGAGGCTACTTGGCGGGCGCCTTTGTGAAACAGGACAGGAGAATGAAAGCAAGCTGGGCGACAGGCACCTAGGCTCTTCTAGCGGTTTAGGGTGTTCAGGGTTGGTTTAGGGCGGGTGTTAGTTTTGGTTCTTGGGGTGGGTTCAGGTTCAGGGCGCGTTGGGGGGTTGGTTTAGGTTGGGCTCAGGGGTCTGTTCAGGGTTGGTTTAAGTTAGGTTCGGGGTGGGTGTAGGGCTGTTTAGGGTTTAGGGCGGCGTGCGGGTGTGTAGGTCGGTTCACGGGTAGGTTTAGATTATGATTGGTTTGAGGCTGGTCTAGGGTGTGTTTGTGGTTGCTTTAGGTGGGTCGGTTTAGGATTGGTCTACGGTGGGTTGAGATGGAGTCTAATTTGGTTGGGTTGGTTGAGTTGGGGAAAAAGGCGGGTTTTGTGAGGTTCGGATCGGGTGTTCAGGGTGTGCTGGTTCAAGGCATGTTTGGTACGATTAGGGTGGCTCAGGGTTGGTTAAGGGTAGGTTTAGGGTGCTTGTGGTGGGTCGGGGCAGGTGGTGGTGTGTTTAAAAAGTATACCGGGAGGGTGCTTCATTGCTTGCTCCTTGCTTGCTTGCTTGCTTGCTGGCTGGCTTGCTTGCTTGCTTGCTGGCTTGCTTGCTTGCTGGCTGGCTGGCTGGCTGGCTGGCTGGCTGCCTGGCTGGCTGTCTTGCGCTTGCGGTGTGCTTCATTGCTTGCTCCTTGCTTGCTTGCTTGCTCGCTGGCTTGCTTGCTTGCTTGCTGGCTTGCTTGCTTGCTGGCTGGCTGGCTGGCTGGCTGGCTGTCTTGTGCGTGCTTGCTTGCTTGCTTGCTTGCTTGCTTGCTTGCTTGCTTGCTTGCTTGCTTGCTGGCTGGCTGGCTGGCTGGCTGGCTGGCTGGCTGGCTGGCTGGCTGGCTGGCTGGCTGGCTGGCTTGCTGGCTTGCTTGCTTGCTTGCTTGCTTGCTTGCTTGCCTGCTTGCTTGCTTGCTTGCTTGCTTGCCCGAGGGACTGGAAAAAATTCCCAATCCAGCGGGAGAAAAATTCCCTAAATAATATAGCACCCGGCTTGACCCCGAAACCCGAACCAGTACCAGGCCCGAGCCGACTGCGTTCTGCGGCCAGGGCGCGCTGAGTTTCCGCCTTGGAAGCCACAAGGGTGTCCAGCGCCTGCTGCATGGCCTGCCGCTCCTGAATCAGGCGGCATGCCTGGTTTCTCAATGGGAAGCCTTGCCAACCAAAAAATAATTCTTATACTATTACAACTGTTTCTATTCTAATGATTTCTATTATTACGGTTATTGTTGATATTACTACCATGTCTATTCCTTTTATTATGTTGCTACGAACAACAAAAAGAAACAGCGACCACTGGCGTTTTTCAGAACAGCCCGGCCGTTGAAACGCGCGGACCCCAAGCGACCGGTCTGCCCCCGACTAGCCTGCTCCAAGCCCTCCTCCTCAGCCTCTTGCAGGCACTTGCCTTGGCTCCACCCGATCAACCCCTGTTTAACATGGGGCACCCAAAATGGAACTGTGGTGAGTGGAAACATGGACCAAAACCTGCGTACCCCCTCCTGTGCAATTTTTGCCACACCCATATGGGGGCGTGCCTGGTTTAGTGGAGAGTCATCACTTTTGGAGGGGAACACCCCTTAATCCGGGGTCGACATTATGTCCCAAACCCCCCTAAGCTCTAGCCATCTTCAACCTAGTCCGCCCAAAAAAGGGCAAGGGGCTGGGCTTCTGTTTGGCATGGATAGATCCCGGAAAGCTTGCCACAAAGCTATGGCGAGCCCAGTTGCGCAGGCGGTCCTCCCGGCCCTCCTCCTTCGCCGCAGCCGCCCGCTGGACCAACTCCTTCCTCAGCGCCTCGGATTCGCGGCACCCGCCTTCGGGCGCCGCCGGGCCATGGGGCTTCCGGGCCCCAAAGCGCCGAAGCGCGTTTTTCTAGGGCTGGATTCCTTGTCCATTCTTTTCAAGCATCGTTTTCAAAAACCGGATCTGTGTCCAACCTGGGGTTTTGAGGGTTTCCTGGAAAAGAAGGATCCCTGGAAAGAATGGAAATGGAAGGTACCCCTAAGGTTTTAGACACCGAGGAAACCCCCCAAAAACCAAAAGGAGCCGACGGAACAGCCCACGCGCTTTGATTTTTCGAGATGTTCTGGGTCGATCCCCCCGGGGCCGGAAAGTGTTCCCGCACCTATCTGACTTTTGGATGGAATAGAACTCCGGGATTCTCAGAATCTTCTGAGTTCACACTGCATCTGCCTCTCAGGAATCGGGCCCTCCAAAATGGAAAGAACCTGTGGTTGTCCTCTTGGCTTCCCTTCTAACAACCCACCATCTGCCAGGGAAAATAAAAATGCATTTTTTAAAAAAAATGAAAACAAAAACAATACACATATATATATATAGAAAGTATATATATATATGTATATATGTGTGTGTGTGTGTCTAAAACAAGAAAGGGGGAGAAAAAAAAACGGAAAACCACCCAAACCAGGGGCGGTGTTTGCCCCAAAGAGCTGCCCCCAGACGTTTTCCCCGCCTCGCGCTGCTTGAGGCGTCGCAGCTGCACCTCCGCGGCCTCCAACTCCGCGCCCCCCACGCCGCACCTCGGGCGCCGTGGGGCGCGCGTGGCGCGCGCGTGGCTCGGGCCCCCGAGGGGCGCCTGGGGAAAGGCGTCTGGGTCCTCCAGATTTGCAGAGGATGGGGTGTAGTTGGCACACCAAAAAAGATTAAATTTTGGGTTTGTCTATGACTTGGAGGGGAACCCGAAGCCCACCAAAAAAAGGGGTGAGAAAGGGCACTGGGGGATGTAGGAGTCCTTTTGGCCCACGACGGCCCCCTGAGGTGGGGTGGGATTTGTGTTACCTACCTGTAGGGTTGCTTGTCTCTTCGGGACCTCACATGTTGGAAGGATACTTTTGGTTGAGCTTGTCTTTTGCTCAGGTGATGTTTATCCTAAAGCACTAGCCCGAGCAGCGTGATCGAATTCTGGCAGTATGGAGAGGAGTTGGAGACAATTGAGGCCAGGACGCTCACATTGATGTGCTCCAAAAAGACGAAGCATGGGAAGTTGCAACATCCGCTTGGCGCATTGGACCTAAAACATATTTCGTCGCACATTAGGGCTTGCACCTAGGGCCCACACCACTAGCCCCAAAACAATGGGCATGCAAGGGGTGAGACTTAGGCCCCTGAAACTGCTGGCGCCTGCAAAGCCAAAGGCACACCTGGTGCACTGCAACATGGGAACAGCAAGGCAGCCTTGTTCAAACATGTTCCACCACAGTTGTTCTGACGCCCTCCTTTTGCCTTCCCTTTCAAGGGGAGCAGGGGTGGTTGTTGTGCGAGCTGGCAAGCTCTGGCCGTCCCCCCAAGAAATCAGTCGCCACTAGCACGGCGGCAAGGCAAAGCAAGGCAATAAGCATCGGCCGAGGGGTGAGTCCCGCTATAAGTTGTTCACTCCGACATCGCCAGTTGCTGCCTTTTCCCAGCCACCGTGACTGCCTTCTGAGGTACAGCGCCTGAAAAAAAAACTTGGCGTTCCAGGCTTGTACTACCACACTGGTAGTTCCTTAGCCCCCTCTTTAAGAGCAAAGTTGCATACCCACTTGGCTCCTTCCAAGCACCAGCCAGGCTGAACGAACCCCGAGGACTGACTGCGGCTCCGGGGCTTCTTGGCGCCCTGCACCGCTTCCGCCAGCGCGGCGGGGTCTCTTTGCCGCGAGGCGCTCTGGAGCGCCGCCACCTGCAGAGCTCGTTTTTGCGACTTTGGACCCCGAAAGCGCGGCTTAGACATCAGTAGTATTTGTTAACATTTTGCCAACCAACGGATTTCCGTCTCGTTATTTCAGTGTTGTTCCGTTTGGTGAAGCCACCTGGAAGAACGGCAGGTTTGGCCACGTTCGCGTTCCATGCCCAACTTCCAGAGCTCCTCTTGCCAACTGGCTTGATGCGACAGGCAGGGAATGAGAAATGGAATGACCCTGAAGAATCCTTTCTGGCGTCCTTTTAAGCGAATCCCAAAAAACCGGTTCATTCCCACAACCCGCAAGCTCATTCCCTACCTATTGCACCGGCGAGTCATAGCTCAGGACCTTCCCAATTTTGATGGTTGCCACAGCGTACTGGGTCCGGCAACTGCCCCGAGAAGGATGGCAAAGGCGGCTACGTGCCCCAACAAGCAAGCGTAAAGAACTCAACTTCTATGGCGCCCAGCCAAAAGAAAAACTGAAAAGCGGTTGTCGTTGGTCGAGGTTGCGCCAAGTTCTTTGGATGGATCGGGGCTCCGGGGTCCAGAAAGGCCCAGCTGCGAGGAAAAACCCGCGCCACGTGCGATTGCGGGATTCGAGCCATGCTTGCGCAAAAGCTCAGGTGTCTCACACAATTTTGCCAAGGTCGTGAGGTGTTGTCTTTTTGGAAGACAGATCGCACCAGCCAATGATAATAATTTGGTGGTGGTGGTGGTGGTGGTGGTGGTGGTGGCGGCGGTGGCGGTGGCGGTGGCGGTGGCGGTGGTGGTGCGGTGGCGGTGGTGGTGGTGGCGGTGGTGGTGTTTGTACCCGTAGCAGTGCAGCAGCTGCCACGTGTGATGCATCCGCCCCAATCAGGACAAGTACGGAGACCAAAAAGCGCCGAGGACAAACCCTGTCGAGACATGGGTGCGGGTCAAAAATCGGGTAACCCCAAAATGGAACCCTGGTCAGTGGAAGCATGGGCCAAAACTGCGGTCCAATTCCTGGTGGTGACTCATTTTGACCACTACCCACATTTCGCTCTCGATCCGATCGCGTTCCCTGCCTGGCCCTTCCTCTCCTCTAAGGTCCTGCACTTCAGGAGCTGCCCCAGTTCCTGGTCCGCGGTCCTTACGCCCGAGCCGGGCTCGAAAAGGGGAAGGATGCGTGAGATTCGGCGGTCAAGTTTTGACGCTGACGCGGGACTGTGACAGCAATGCCATGGGAATACGGGTTCAAGCGCCAATACGTGAGCCCGAATTCAATCCCAGCCCTACTTCCCGGCAACGCGCCAATCTAAAAATCAAACATGCGGGGTTGTTGACCCAACCCCTGGCTTTCAGGTACAAACTTTGCCAGCCCCCACCCCAAAAAAAATATCGCAAACATAAACAAGAAATGAGTCTGCCAGACCCAAAAAAAACCTGCGAAGGGCTCCTTTAAAAGGAAGCCTTACAGAAACAAAAGAAAAAAACAACCTTTAGAAGCAAGTGTAGAAAATGTAAAGCCCTCAAACCCCTGGAAATTCTCTAAAGCCGAGGTGCAACATGTAGCCCCCGCCATCCTCCGCGCAGAGCCGGATCCAGCCCCCGTAGGCCTGGCCCACGGCGCGCACTTTGTCGCCGAACTTCCGGGTGCCCTGAGCGAGCCGACCGCTCGCCTGTTGCGATACAAGTGGTGAAACGGCGTCAGCCACTACTTAGAAGGGCTGGGACGCATCGCTAAATGGCTAGTAACCCTGGTTTCAGGGGACTTACAGCCATTGTAAGTGGGTTACAACCAGGGCTACTAGCCATTTAGCCAACTCCTAGACCATCCAGTACAAGGGCGGTCGGGTGCTGAGTAAGTGGTGTGTAACCATGCTGACAACCCACTTAGACTTGATTATATTATAAGTCTCCTCCATGGGTTAGTTATATCCATGGTTACTAGCCACTTCCGTTCCTTTTTGCGGAACATAGTCTTCCAGGACCCCGGGAAAACAGCTTCCATGCTCGTGAACGGGATAACTGTTTGAAAAACTGCTTAAACAACTGCCCAATACGGAAACCAAAAATGTGACTTAAACAAACCAAAGTTGCTTGACCTCGTTTCGCGCCCTGGAAACACGCCCGCAGGGCTTGCCGGGCATTCGCATGACCCAAGCGTTCAGATGCTTGAAGAATCTGTTCTCCACCCCGCACCCCCAGATCTCAATGTAAAAATGTCAACACTAACTTTGTACGGGAGGGAGTTGACCTGTTGCTGACCCGGGTCTCTGCAAGGCATTCCAAAATTGAGCCCAGCGGGTGAAGAGTAGCTTGTGTCGTCCACGTACGGGTTGGATTCCTCGTTGAAACCGGGGTGAAATCACTATTCTTGAAACAACCTCCTTTTGGCTTCCCAAAGCAAAGCTTGCCCCTGCAGGAGAAAGGAAAGAGGAACGACTGACGGAGCGAAGCTTGGCCTCTGTCTCAGGATTCCAACGCTGGCCCCAGGAGGCAAAACAAAAAAAAACTGAAAGGGAGGAGGGCCATGTTAGAATATTTTCAAATTGGTGGCGTTGGGGGAAACAACCTCTTGTCTCTTAACAATTATCAAACGACGTCAAGGTCATAACATGTGATGCACAGTCCTTCTTTCTTCCAGCGCTCTAAACGGAGAGTCCTTGCCTAATTCGATGCCCCAACTTGACACTTAAACTTAGGCAGGCTTCCGTACCAACTGCAATTAGTGGTGTGGGACCTCTCACTCATTAGGGGTACACTCCCTTTGAAACTGCAACATCAGTGCACTTAGATGTTCCCCTGGAACACTTTAACTTCACCAATCCCCAAAAGAAATGAAATCTGAGATGACACCCACCAGGAATTGTTGGAACCTCCCCACCCAGAACACACTCTCCCCCACCCACCCCCAAGAAAACAAAGAGCAAAACGAAAAAGAGGCCGACCACGGAGAAAAGCACAAACTCCACCCCAACACCCTATCCAACCCAAACAAAGACAAAGATCATCCCTCCACGTAGTTCCATCCACCCCAACATCCTCATCTTTTTAAATCCCCAAAAAAAAAAAACGCGCCTGGAGCGGCCGCGTCTTATCCGGCCCAATGCGCACCGCCACGAAGGGCTGATACACCACCTCGAAGACCAGCGGCGCGTCGGAGCCCTCACCGGCCACAGGTGAGCGACGTGAGCGGCGAGTCACTTCCCCTCCCCCCCAATACTACCCAGGGGTCCTGGAAAAAGTGAGGGGGTATACTACCCAGAGGTTCAGGGGGTATACCACCCAGGGGGGCTGGAAAAACTGAGGGGGGTTTAAAACCCCACCTCAGTACAGTCATGTTCATCCCCAGCTTCACATGGACTAAGATGGCGCCCTTAGTCGTTTGGTGCAAGTGGCCTGTGCAAAAGCCATGGACTGGGGGGCTACTTCTCATTCGGGTCCCTGGAAGAACTGGGGGGTTTATTAAACGGGGGTCAACACAAAGTTGGATGCTGTTAAAACCACTGGTTTGAAGGACCAATTCCAACGTAACATCTATGTCCCCCAAAGGAGTTTGTCAAGGGGGTTTGGCACCCGGCTACCCCTTTGGCTGTAGAAGAAAGTACCCTGAAATGACACGCACCAACATGGACGCACAACCTGACCCGTTCAAACTAAAAGGCTTGTTTAGACAACGAACAGCAACTACCACAAGACCTGGTTTCGACAAGCAGATGCTGACTTAAGGTCCATGTTTGCTTCAGGGTCAAGCTGGCTGAAGCAATGCGTGTTAGGATCCTTTAGGCGGGCAAGCAAAGGGGATGCACCAGCCGCCTCGCCCTGAAGGGGGTTCACCAACGGGGGCTGCTTGAACAGAACTTGTTTGACATCCTTCGGAAGCCTCTCACTGGGCTGTCCTCAGATCTCCTGCTAACAGTTTGACGTTGAGTGGGTTGAATGCGAAACCCAACCACTAAACCAACAAAAAAACAAAATTCTAAAAAGGATCTAAAAAGGATCTAAAAAGAGCCAAAAATCCCAGGAACCGGATGGCTGGTTCCGAACCACCGAGATAGGGGAACGGCTACTAATTGTCCTTTGGTTTTTCGCTTAGGGGGCACCGGGATCTGGTCAAACAACCTCCCTTTTGGGTTTCCTTTGCTAGGACACCAAGCCTTCGTTCGGAATTGGACACATATGTGAACAAGTTAGGGTGTCTCAACATGAGACGCCCAACAAAGTGGCTGGTGTCCTTTTGGCAGCCCTTTCAAGCAAAAACAAAAAGAACATCGGGGCTTCTCTTCCTTTTTAGCCCATCCAAGAAAATGGCCGGGTTCCTTACCATGTCCTTACACGACTCCTGGCGGTTAAGAGCAAATTTGGATACCCCCAACTCCGAGTCCGGCTCTCTTCCAACCACCGGCTAGCCTGAACCTCCTCCATCACCAGCGGCAGACAGCGGCCGATGCCCGCTAAGACTTGGCCGATGTTCTGCTTGCCCGCCATGTCCTCAGCTGAGTCATACTTAAAGGTGTGACCGGGTACTTAGCAAGTGGTTGTTGGTAAGCATTGTTATAACCCACTGAACGGAGACTTATAATCATGGCTTGTGTGGGTTTAAGTGGTTGGTAACAATGGTGAAATACTCACAAAAGCCCTGATTATACGTCTCCCTTCAGTGGGTAACCATGCTTACCAACCACCAATAAGTACCCGATCACCCCTTTCATCAAAGCTGATCGGTATTACAATGGCCGAGTCGGCAAAGGCACCCAAACCTTCCTCTACCCGGGGCGGCTCGACTGTGGCTCAGCTTTGAATCTGCAAAACCTGATGGATCCATGGATGTTCAAGGCCCGGGGCTGTCCAAAACCTGAAAAAATAAGAATTGGACCTGGTTGGCATTTGTTTGCTGGGTTGCGTTTCGGGATGATAACTTTGCTAGATCCTCTCCTCCAGATTGCGGACAATGACTGGTGTTTTCACATGTCTTTCAACTTGTGGAAAGTCTGCAAAGCTCCGCCCCACTCGTTAAAGGACCTCCCACTCACCAGCGTGGAGTCCCTGTCAGGCCGGCAGAGTCCATGTCAGGGCGGTCATTGTCACACTTTTCTGCTTCTCAATTTGCACGCCACACCCTCCACAAAGGGCAGGGAGGGTCAAGTGTCAAGTCGGATCCCAGCCCGCCCCCACCCCACCCCCGCAACCTCCACAACCTCCCTTCCCCACGGCCCTTGAGGTTGGCTGTTGCTAAACAAGCGCCAAAGGAAGCGACCAACCATACCAATGCAACAGCAAAATCGGGTTACACACATATACATATATATATATATATAGATATAAGCAAAAAAAATGATCTATATATATATATATGTGAATTTAAATAGATATATCTATGCGTATATATACATATGTATATATATATATTATCTGATTTAACAACCAAATGTCCCGGCCTTGATGACGTATCCCGGCTGGCCCTGGAGCTTCACCCAGCCGTCCCAGGTCTCCTCGTGGGGCCAGGAGCGCCGTAGTCTACGGCGCGCCCCGATTTAGAGGGGGGATCGTCATCGGATTCGGACCCTTTTGCAGGGGAAATCCACTGGACTTCCCCAAGTCAAAAGTTGAGAACAAAAAAGCAATGGTGGTGTCACTTGAAACGATCGCCACTTCTGGAGGTTCCAGAGAAGGGGCATGGCTTATTGCAAGTAAGGGGACGAAGGAACCCTACCACGGCTTTGGGTTGTCCCCGGCCTGATTTACCGTGATTTACAATTATTTTAGGGTCGAGTGTGCTTGGCCGACTTGCGATGTTTAGGGCACCTATGATAACGAATGCTACTTAAAAGCTCCCTTACTTCGCTCCTGATGGCGAGACCATTGTAATTGAAACCGGTGACAAGTGTCTGAAGTACTGTGAAACCTACACCAGTCAGGTGGTGCAATTCTCCCCATGAAAAAGTTTATCGGCTCTGCAGTGGATGGATACTGTGGGCGAAATCCATTCACCTACGACACTGGAATAAATCGATGTCCCCAACATAAATATCGGCAAACGTTATGGTTTCAACCATGGAATCAAGGCGGTGCGAACACATTTTGCAGCCATCCACCGCATCAATTACTTCGTGAGCTCATCATTTGAGGATCATTATAATGGTCAAGGATCCCTACCAAATGACCATCGAAACTCGTCAACCCCAAGTGAAGCGCAACCACTCGACCACTCGAACCACGTCTCACGTCGCCGCATTGTCCGACGGCCTCGCGTCATCATTTGTCCATGGGTCAAACTCGCGTACCCCCAGTGAACATCCCAATCCAACCACTAAAAATAACGGTTCTAACATGGGCGGTGACTTCACCTACCAACCAACCTGGGATCCCCAAACGGTTTTGACCACAGCCACATGAAGATTCCTCTTCGTGGCTTGCTCGACCGGCCCACAGCCAAATGAAGATTCCTCTTCGTGGCTTGCTGGACCGGCATGAAAGCTTGCCCTCAACAGTCAGATGCTCAATCAGCAGGGTTCAGATCACCTCCCAAACGGCTCGACCCTTCGCAACTCCTCGGAGGCCCGGAAGGTGTCGCCCTTCAGCTTCTTCCCGCAGATGGAGCCCAGAAGGTTCGGCTCCAAGCGCACGAAGGCGAAGTCGTGGACCACCTCTCGGTGTATTTGTTCATCTTATGTGTTTATTTTTTTTATTTTTTTTTTTGGGGGGGGGGCGTGTTTTTTTGGGGGCCAAAAAATCCTCGTGTTTTTCTGGGTGGGGGGGGGGGGGTGCGTTTGCCTTTGGGGAAACGCAGGGTTTCCTTCCCTTGACTTGTGTGGTTGTGTGTGTGTGTAGTTGTGTGAGACGCGGATCCCTTGCTTTGTCAATTTGTGTGCGGGGGGCCGGGGGATTATCTTTCACGGCAGGGGGAAGTTTGGCCGACCTCACTTTCGCATTTGGATACGGACGGCTGAACATGGGGTCAAATGGCTCAACTGCGCTACCCTGGGTAGGCCCGCGCACACACCTGGTTGAGCGGGGGGGGGGGGGGGGAAGAGAGGCATAGAAGTGTGGTCCAAAACGTCTTCAAAGTAAAGACCCCTACTTAAAGGTGCGATCGGGTACTTAGTAAGTGTTCAGTAACCGTTGTAAAATAACCCACAGAGAGAGACCATGATGATAAGTCTCCGTTCGGTGGGTTGTAACTCACCATGGTTACTCTCACCACTTACCAGACGTCCCTTCATCGATCGCCCCTTAGTCGGTTTGGCTCTGCGCCCCCCCGAGCAACCCATGGGAACATGGGTCGCAGGCTCCTTACATGTCCCCTTCCAACATCACCCCAGGCAACTCACTTTTAAATCGGCGAAAAAAAGGTGATGCTTGACCCACTTTTAAGGGAAATAGGGAACCCTGACCATCCAACCAGATCTTCCGGAACCATCAATCAAAATGGAACCTGACCTTGTTGGTCGGGTGTCTGGTTTGGAACATCCACCTTTAAAAGGGGACCATTTCTCCATCAGGTTCCTCAGATAAACCACGTGTGGGCGGGAAGAGCATCAGCAGCATCAAGGCGCGCCTGGTACTCCTGGCTGGGCAACGGCGGCAGCTTCGCCGAGAAGGCCTTCCCCTTGGCCGCCGGCTTCGGCTGGGGCGCCAGGCGCTTGGCCTCCTGGTCGCTGACGCGCTTGGCGTGGTCCCGCAGCAGCCGCATGGTCTGGTCCGTGAAGACCTAAAATCCGTGGGATCCGTGTGGGGGTGTTGCACGTGTGGCCAAATCGAGGCCTGCAAAATCGGGAAGAACCGGTATGTTTACTGGTGTGGTCATTGGCATCATTTGTAGCATTAGTACTATAGCATTAGCATTATGATTAGTACTATTATCATATTATATGTTTATAATGGAGCTCCTATTCTGTTTCCCTTTACAGCAACACCGTGGTTCAAACTACACGCTTGCAGCATTGGTCATTTTCAGAACCTTCATAACCTGAACATTGTCCTGAACATGCGGGGTCCTGAACATACCGGGCCTCAGGGCCTCGCATGTCCAAAGACCATGGTCAACTTTGAGGAGCCCTGCCTGAGGTCCAAGACGTGAGGTTCCAAGTGGGCTGACGGCGATGCCCAAGGTCTATCCGTTTCTACGGCTCACCTGAAAAACCCCTCCCACAAACTCCGACTCATACAACGAAGAGGGTTCCAACCTCATCACCTCACGAAAAAGGAGCCAGGTGAGGTTCAGATCAAATGAGACCCTCAAATTGACGCTCAAACCGAGAGAGGAAACCTGTAAGAACCCACAGAACACGGGTTGGAACGAAGGAAAACCCAGCACCAACCAGCCGCTCCATAATGACCCATTCTGTGCTAGGCCCCTTTTCTGGTCGTTTTTCTCCTCCATCCCCTCCTCCATCCCCTTCACCGCCTTCAGCCAATGTTTGTGGACATGTTTCATGACATTGTGGCTTGCCCAAATCCGTTTTTTCTCAACACACAGCTGGCTCGGCTCCCTAAACCCAAAAAAACACCCAAATAAGGGTACCGCCCAAAAAGGAGGAGAAAAAAAAACATCCAACGGCCAGCCCCTACATGATCCCCCCCTTTTTCGTTTCGGCCCCCCCCTCCCTCCCAAATCGACCGCACGAAAGACGCGCCGCGCGTCTTTGGCGCCTTCTCCCCCACAGACTTGAAGCGCTGGTTCACGTTGGCGGAGCCATCGGACTGGACGGCGCGCAGCAGTCCGCCGAGGTCCGTGACCGTGATCTTGGCCAAGCGCTCGCACACCGAGGTGATGTCCTGACGCTCGGGACGCGCGGGCTCGATCGGGCTCGGGAAGGCGAGGGAAGGCGAGGGGAAGGCCATGTTGCTTGGGGCAAACCAAAAGTTCGAGGGGTCCAAACATTCTTTCCAGGCATCCTTCTTTCTAGAAAGCCACCGAAAATGCCGGGGAAATGGCTGGTTTTTGAAAAGAGCGATGGCTTAAAAGAATGGGGAATCAAACCCTGGAAAAGTGGTCAAACAGCCCTGAATAGAACTCCGATCGGCCACCAAAGGGCCCCTCTTTAACAGCAAATTTCGCTCCAGCTCGGTCACGTCTCCCTTCCAAACCACCAGTTCGTTTGCGCACGAAGAGGAGTCAATCCCTTTGGTGTTTTTTTTCCAGCTTTGAGTTCGTGTTCGCTCTTGTTTTTTGCCGTCCAAGAAATCGGCCACCCAAAAGTGGCGTCCTTCTGCGACCAATCCGACTTGGCCGCCATCAGGAAGGCTGACATGGTGAGGCCCCCGTAGGGCTTGGGTCGCGCCACCGGCGCCGGCGGCGCCTCAGGGTCGGGGGTGGCTCAAGCGCGAGTCCGAAGCAAGCCCTGGTTTCAAACATGGTTCAAACCACTCTTTCAACCACCTCCCCTTGAAATAGAAACCGGAGGCTTAAGCAAAAGTTGATTCAAATCAAACCGGAGCTTGCTGAAACGAAAGTTGGTCCTCGACCTCCAGTTGCACTCGCAACTAAGCTCACTTGCCCAAGCACCTGGAAATACCAGTTCAACTGTTCGGCACCCCCACAAAAATATAAGTCAAATGTGGAAAATCAAAAGGTCAGAAGGTCGGCTTTGGGAGATGAGCATATGTATGTATATGTATATATATATATATATATACATTTTTTGATGAGGGAACCACTCTGGTAAGCAGCCTTTGGGTTTTCCCTTGGCACCTCAGGCCGCGCATTCAAGCGCACCCAGTCCAGGCGATCTGGGCGGCCGTTGGCGGCGTACACGAGGATCACCTCGAAGCGGGCGCCAGCCACGGCTTGGTCCTCCGGCGATCGGGGCTCACCCCTTCAAACATCGGGCGATGGTACTTTGGATGGACGAAATCCCTTCGCACTTTGAAACCGTGGTTGAATCATTGTTGGTTAGTATTTACAGGCGGATCTTCTAGGGTTTCTTGGGTGGTGCGAAATGGACTTCGTCCACAGCATGTGTTCTCAAGCCGTCCTGTGGAGACCATAACAAGTCCGGGTTTCCCCTTACGACATCATCCCCAGCCACAAAGGGGATGTGTAAAACCACTAGTAAAAGGAAAATATGGGGACCCCCAAGGCAGCCTCGATGTGGCTGGAAAACACGTCCATGAAAACAAGAGACGCTTCACCCGCTGCTTCAAACAAATTTTGGGGGAACCCCTAAACATCCCAACAAAAAAAAACACATGGTTTCAACCACTGCTTCTCAGCCACCTGGACACCCCATGCATTAAAAACAAAACACAAAACACGCCTGGCCGGCTTTCTCTCGTTTCATGCCCGCGCATCCTCCGGATGGGCTCCGATGGTCCAGCTGTGGCCCGCGCGGTTCTCGTCCGGCCCCATGAGGCGATGGAACTCGAAGGGGCTCGCGTCCCCGCGGTCCGGGTGCAGGCACCGCTCGGGGCCCTCCCCAGGCCCGAAGATCTGGAAGCTCTCCTGGCGGCTTTTCTCAAGAGGCGCCGCGCTCTTCGCCACTTGACCCTTTTATTGGGCTTGGGTAACGGGGGAAACCACATACATCAACAAGCTCTCCTGCCTTGTTCTTGATTGTTTTTTTTGTTTGGGGGGGGGGGGGTGAGGGTTTAGGGTTGAGGGTTTGGTTGGCTTGTTGGCACCTTTTCTTGACCCTGTTGTTGGGCTTGGGTTAGAGGGAAACCACCATAGATGAACAAGCTCTAGTGCTTGTAAGGCTGGGGCGCGAAGCCGGGCAAAGCCTTGATTTTAGGTTGGGTGAAAGCGGAAAAAGAAGAAAATCACCTTGGGGGGCTATGTGCGCTATGTGCGACACGCCTACGGCAAGCATTTAGGTCTGCGCCAGACAGAAGGGAATGCTTTCTACTTTTCACGGTGTAGTGGTTCGCTGACCTCAAGCGAAGGGTCGGTCTTTTGCAGAGGGTGCACCGAAAATGGGATTCCTTTCAGCATCCCAGCCAAAGTGTGCGGACCCCTTGCCGGACATTCGACTTGCGGTGGCATCAAAGCTTTATTTGTTCGTGGGATATCCCGATGGAAACTCCACAAGTCGTGCATCAGGGCCTGAGCTTCCCATTCCAGAGTTGCAGATGGCTCCAACGGGAATGCGAGGTCCAAAAGCGGGAGACTGAGAGATCCCGATGAACGCCCAACCATAAGTCCAAGAAGATGAGAACCGCAAAACTTCGAAAGAACCACCCCCCCCCTCGGAAGGCTGGCATCTAAAAGATATCTCACACACCCTCCCCCCCTCCTCCACTCCTCCTTCTCCTCCTTCTCCTCCCCCCTCCCCAAGCCATGGCCCAGGGTTCCACTTTTCAACTACCCCAAGATGGACTTAAACCCAGGGGGTTCAAAATTATACCCCCCACCCCCCCACCCACCCCCTCCACCCCCAATGCCACAGTTCTCACTCCGAGTTTCGGGGGCGCCGGAGGCGAAGGTCACGGTGAACTTGTGGCACCGGCGCTTTGGCTCCAGCACCATGGCCTGCGGCCGCCAGTGGTTCCAACTGCCGCAGATCTGCAAGGAGTTCCTCGGGCGGCGCAGTGGTGTGTTTGCTGGTCGCGGAGGTTTTTCTTTGTTTTGTTGGTTGTTTTTTGTTGGTTGGTTTTTTGTTTTTTTGTTGGCTTTTTGTTGTTTTGTTTTGTGGTTGTCGTTGTTCTTTTTGTTGTCTTGTAGCTGTTCTAGTTATCGTTGTTGCTTTTTCTTTTTTGGGGGTTTCCGGTGGGGGGGGGCCACAAGCCAACAAGCCTTTTTTGCTTGTTGTCTGGTTTTGTCTCCTTTTTTTTTTGGGAGGGGGGCTTTTGCTGGGGGAGGACCATTTGAGCATGCTTTAGCAGGAGCTCGCTCGACGCTTTTTCGGGGGGAGGGCTTAAGAACCTGGTCTGGGAAACCCAGCGAACAAGAAGGGGTTCGGCGGGTTCCACATGCTCAAAGGAACCTGGCAAGAAAAAGGCTCACTGTTCGGGCCGGGGTAAATGAAAGGAAGCTAAAATCTCTCACCAGCGAGGCGCTCATCCGCCCGGAAGTAGTCAGGCTGCCTGAGCCGCGCACTCCGCTCCGGCTCCGGGCGCTCGTGCTGCTTGTGCGGCATCGGCGGCCGCTTTTCCCGCTCGGGCTGAGAGCTTGGCCGCGCCGCTTCACTGAAGGCGCCCGGCCGCCCGGCCGGGGGCGCGCGGCCGGCGCCGGCGCCGGCGCCGGCGCCGGCTGGCGCGCCTGGGCCCGGGCAGACTCGGTGGGCTCCAGGTTCTTCGCCCGGAGCAGCTTGTCCCCCATGCCACCCTCCAGGCGCACCTCAGACGAAGCCCATGGACTGTTGGGTCTACTTGCTCCCAGTGTACTTAGCAAGTGGTTAGTAACCACGGTTATTTTCCCCACTGAACGGAGACTTATAACCATGGCTTTTGTGGGGTATAACCATAGTTGCTGTCCACTTCCTAAGTGCCCTGCCCCTAAAAGCAGGGGATTTGGCCGGCCTGCCAGCGGTCCCCGTGGAACTTCACCAAGACCCCCAGCACGTTGTTCAGCTGGGGCTGCTGCTGGAGCCCCACCACCCGCACCCGCGAGCCCACGGAGAAGCCATCGCCAGCCTCCCGCACGGCACTGGCCAGGTTGTCCGTGCGGATGTAGCCTTCGGCCCTGATGCATCGAAAGGAAACACCCTGGATCGATCCAGTTGCGATCGCTCTATTTTTTTCCATGCACTTTAACCCAAAACCCGAGCGCAACAGTGACTGAAAAAAGCAACTTGGCTATCTAGGACCAACTCAGTGACTGTTGGGTCAAAAGCAGACCACCCAAACTGTCGCAACGCGGTGGATTGTGGAGGCTAGGCTCCCCCAAAAGTCATCCGCTTCCCTCCGAAGCATTCCCCCTCCAACTTTTGGATGTAGTCGTCCAACAGTCCGCGCACCTCATTGGGGATTCCAAACCATATGCCCCAACCAGCCACGGTTTCAACTTTGTTGGCTACCCAAGGTACAGGAGTGAGTGAAAGGATTCAAAAAGGGATCCCCCAGGCTGCAGCCTACCTTGGGGTCGTCGGACAATGAAACCCTGGCTCCAACCATAGGTGCCCTTTTTGGGAAAATAGATGGCCCTGGCAGTTGATTGAACCACCCGGTAAACTAGGGCCCTCTATTTTTCGACCACATCAACCAAAAAGGACACCTATGGCTCCAACTTTCTTGCCCGAAGCTCGCAGGCGGCGACCGTGAGCCCACATTTGCGGAGAAGCTGTGCACGCCGCCGCTGCGCCTGCGACCGCGGCAAAAAGGCCTTCCCAGAGGGATATCCGAAAAGTCGACACTAAATCCAGCCAACGCACCAACCAACCAACCAACCAACCAACCAACCAACCAACCAACCAACCAACCAACCAACCAACCAACCCACCCACCCACCCACCCACCCACCCACCCACCCACCCACCCACCCACCAACCGGTCGTTCTAAATTGCTATGGGTGAGGTTCTGCGCTCCAGTGGTTTTCTGCTGTTTTCTTCCTTGGGGGGGGGGGTAGGAAGTTGCATACAACACTCCCAGCACGCCCCAAGCCGACGCACAACCACGCCCGCTGCTCCGGGCTTTCGCCTCTGCCCCGGCCGCTCCCTCTCCGGGCGCTCCCAAGCGAAGCGGCGGGAGGCTTCCGGCGGCGGCTCACGGTCCGCAGCGGGCTCCTCCCGCTTGCCCCGGAAGGCCTGACGGCCGAAAGGCGAGAGGTGTCCTATGAGGAATTTTGAGCTCACACGATTTTGGGCCCGGGAATTAGAGTAGGGGAAAAATTAGAGGGGAAAGCACCCATGGTCTTAAAACTTTAGGTTGGAAATAGATGGATTTCCCTGGATGACTAAACCAGGCAAACCAGGAATCGCCATCGATGCTTCGACCAAAACAACTAAAAAGGGACACCTGTGAAGGCGAGTACTCCCCCGTGGAGTCATGGCGAGTACTCACGGGCATGGGCAAGGCTCAGAAAATATGAGCACCGGCCAAAAATGTGATTCAAGGTAGCCCTTCGGAATTCCCTCACAACACGGTCGCAAATTTGGGACCCTCCCCACAAGGTAGCCCTTCGATACGTTGGAAGTTATGAAGCAGGCAGAAGCCAGTGCTCGATCATGCCGCGTGACCAGTAGGAAACGGTCACGAAACCACTGGCCGCGCCGATGCTTTGCCTACAAAAAGACTTTGGGAAAAGCCAAGGAGCAGCCATGGGCCCTTCGCCTCTTTCTCAGGAAATCTGAGAGACCAACGATCCCAGGAAGCTCGGGGGTAGCTTGGGCAGGAAACCTTAGACAGTAGCCCTTTTCAACTGACCTCCCCTTCGCCTCTATGAACTCTTCCTCTGCGGTGAGCTTGGATGTACGCCCGGTTTCGTCATACTTGGCACGGGCCTTGGCGTCAGAAAGTACCTCGCACGGCCAACAACAAGGACAGCGAAGTTAGCTCAACCCACCTGCTTGAGCATCTCGCGGGATGTCTAAGCACCGGTTCCCATATGGCCCGAGTATGGCCTCTATTGGGGGGAGGGGAGGTTGTCAGTTCCATGCACGGGGCAGAATTCTATCCCAAGAAAAGACGGCACTCCAAAAATGAAACACGTCAGAACCTCCCCAAATCGTCGCTTTAACGAACCCAAGAAAAGGCAGTGCAAACCGCTCTATGGACAAAGGAGGGTCTGTGACATGTTTCTTTGCTGGAAGCTTTGTTCTCAAGGGCCTCCAACGTTGGCAGCCACGAACCCAAGAGCGCCAAGACCCTCAAGAAGGTACGGTGGATGCCCAAGTTCTTGCAACTAAACCAAGCACACACAACCACGAAGCCGTAGTTTAATTTAGGTGGGCTTCCGCCTTCCTCTCAACCCCAAGGCCAGAAAAAACTTGGGGGGGTTCAACTTGTTCCTTTACTTGTCTCACCCCACTTACAGGAAACGAACGTGTTCAATTGGCCCGAAAGGTGATGCTTACCAACGACAAGGGAAACATGGGTGTGTCCCTTTCTTTGGCGGGGTGGGTTCCCTTTTGTTTCCCCTTTTAACCCACCCCAAGAAGGGTTCCCTCAACAAAAGACACCTCCTTATATGGCCTATGGTCACGGCTCCCTGAATAGGAATCATTGATAATGCTTATTAAGGATCCTCACAACCAAGTTCATGACCATCCCTACTATCCCCCAGTCAAGGAACCGGTCGTTTGACCCTTGCGCATTTAGGGACTCCTGCTCGACTTGCCGGTGCGATCAGTAGGGAACCTTGGATCCTTCCATTTCTCATTCCCTGCATCTCTCGCACCACCAAGTTTTGTTTGGCCGGGTGGGTTCGGGAAAACAGAACTGAAGGGAGCCGGGGCCATGCAGAGCGAGCGCTGGAAAAAAACACCCGTTGCCACCCGCTGGCACCCGCGGGGGGGGCGGAGGTTGACCGAAGCCCCGACGACCCGACGCCCCGACGACCCGACGTCCAGCGCCTCGTAGGCCTTGCTCAGCCGCGCGAACTCCGCGGGGTCGCCGCCCCGGTCCGGGTGCTTCGCGAGCGCCAGCTTCCGGTAGGCCTGAACCCACCCCCCAAACGCCCGATCTTCGGGCGAACATGGGCTTTCCTTGTTGGCTTCCTTTGGTGTCCCTTGGCTTTGCCTGCTGCAAAAGCCAGGTACTTCAGGCAGGCGTTGGAAGTGGTTTGCTTTGCCTTCAGAACATACCGCTTAAAGGGGGTGTCCAAAGAAGGGTTTCAGCAACCCTTTACAAACAACTTTGGCGCATAAACATAATGGTAAACAGCTAACAGGCAGCCTGCCTCCTGAAGTACTTTTAGGACAGGCTCAAATATGTCACAATAAGTTGTCTCCTGTTAAACCCGTAATCCTATGGGCGTACAAGACATTGAGGTGCAATCCTCCGCCCACAAAAAAACAAAGAAGAAAGTATTTTGCCAGCAGGTAACAACAGAACAATAAATTTGAACCAACCGAATTGCTATGCGTCAAACGCTTCAGAGATAAGAAAAACTTCCAGAGGCGATCACAAGTGGAGCCACTCCCCCAAAAACATAAAGGCCGACCAAACGCTATCTTTTTTTTGCTGCTCTGCAGGGAAATCCCCTGTCTGTCAACGGCAATAGGGGGCCCCTCATACTGGGGTCAACATTAAGCGAACCACCAACCCCATGGAGACGTCTGTCGCCTGCCGGATCTCAGAAGAGCTGGCAGAGGGATCCACGCCCAGGATACCGTAGCAGGAGTCCTCGCCAGGCTCGTCCATGGCTTCTCGCTCACTCGCTGCGCGCTCAGCGCGGCATGAGGGCAGAAACCGAAGGCTTTGAATCAAACGCCGTCCACTTCAGAATCAGCTGCTTGGCTGAAAGATGGTTTCAGAGCCCTTCCTGGAGACAGGGTAGATATGTTCGCCTATTGGGCCCGTGCCCTTGGGCCAAATGCCAAGGGCAGGCAGAACTGGACATGAGGCCCCGCTTGTTCATGATCGATTTTCCGACACGGGATAGCCCCGCAAGCTGAGACATAGTATGCATAGTGGCCCAACATCCGCCTAAGAAACCCTGGAATGATTCGATTCCCCGGTAAATACCAACCAACGGTTTGATGCAAATAAGGGCCCAAGTGTCCAAACCATCCACCTAAGAAACCCTGGAATGATTCGATTCCCAACCCTCAAAAGGTGCCGTGGGGTCGAGCTCGCGCGCATTCCAAAGCGCAGTACCATCTGCTTCAGAGGGCCGATCCGCGCGCGCATGCGGCCAGGAAACCTTCCAGCTATGCGCGGGCACCTCTCTAGATTTGGTGCCTCCTTTGGAGGCACCGGCAGAAGTGTGGCCCCTTGCGCCAAGGCCTGCCTCTATGATTTTTTGGAGGGCTGTTCCACTGCGCCTTATTTCGAGCAAGAAGGGTACTATAGCATAATGCAGAATACATGGTGGGATCTGATTCTGTGCAAGCACAACCATGCTTTGGTTTGCATGTTCCACATGCCGTGGAGACCCTCCGTGTTCCGCGAATGCAAGGCGCGACTTTGCGCAGCCTGCAGGCGGCTTCCCTAGCTGTGATTCTCAGCTCTGTCTCGAAAACCCAAAAACTGTGAGGAAAAATCAACCCACGCAGTGGTTTTCCATTTTGAGTCAGTGTTCGAGCAAGGTTGAAAGTACATGGATGTACCATCTGCCTTCGCCCAACTGGGTTTTCAAATAGGGGGAACCCCAGAATAATTGTCCATTTGGTCTCCGTTTTAAAGCCACCCCAAAGATCCCCCCTAATTGGTGATTTGGATTCGGCAGTGGCCTCCCATATAATTACCCCTCTACAAAAGCCAGGGGGTCACTTCCCCAAGCCGCAAATCCAAACCACCAACCAAGGGCGACCTGACCAAAGAGAGCTCCCGCAAAAAAAAACAAAAAAAAACGCTTCGGCGGGGCTCGGCTCCAGGTGGCTCAGGCGGCTCAGGTGGCTCAGCTGATGGTGAGCCTGCCCAGCCCTGCATGAGCCGCCTCCTCGCGCCAAAAGGAATTTTTGCTCCCTCGTCGCTTTTTCTCGCTGAGTGATTCGGAGGGGTGTTTTTATTGACCCTCTTCACGAAACGTGAGGCCAATCTGCATGTTCGCCCCCCCCCTAAGACATGCCTGTTTATCTCCGGCCTGAAAAGCCACGCGATCCAGGGAGTGCGTGGCGTTTGAAAGGGGCAAGCCGCAGACCGCCCCAAAACCAACAGTTAAAACCTGACTAGACATGTGAACAACTTGTGAAAGCCAGGTTGCAATAGTCTGTTCACTTTGGTGAGGGAAGGGGGAAAGCAGCGCTACGTTTGCCATATACATCTGTGCCAAACTGTCTGGCTCCTTGCAGATGGGCCCTAACGAAAAACCCCAGAGGGCTTCGGTCGAAACGAGCCTTGCGCGCCTGGGAAAAACGGAAAGCCCATGGATTTTGTTCAAGAGGGGTGTTTTTCCTGTGCCTGGAATCAGACCACCTTTTTATGGGGTGTTCACCCCCCAAAGGTGGGGCCTGCTCCAAGAAGCCCAAGCCCATTCATCGGTTTGCCCAGGCGTGGTGACAAAGCTCGCCTCGGGAAAACGAAGGAACCCAAGTTGGTGGAGAAGAAAATATTTATCTTAAAAAGTGGCAAAGCCCCGAAGGCAATGCCCCCAAAAAAGCCAAACAAAGAAAATGAAAAAGCCTGACCAGGAAGATTGGAATTGAGCTCTTTCTAACAAGAGCTGAAACACCCTGGCGCGACAACACCTCAGACCTCTAGACCAGCAAAGGCCAGACATGTCCAACATCTAAGTCATGATAGTCAACCAACACAGGGCAACCAAAAAAAATGGGCAGGCGGGTTCCTTTGTTTTTCCCGCCGCGGTGGCCCTTTGTGTCTTCCTCTCTTTTTTCTTCCTCGCGCTCGCGCGAATCTCCTTGGGGTGGCGCTTCAGGTACATGAGCACCAGGTCCTGGATCTGCATGGCGCTCTCGCTGTCCACCACCCGCTCCGCCGAGGCCATCCAGTCGTAGCCGAACTTCCCCTGGGCCATGGCGTCCGTGACCGCCACCTGGGCCATGGCTCGGACAGACCAAAGGCGCGCGGTCGAAGGGCGCGGATGGCTCGGAAGCCGAAGGCCTCCACTTTTTGGGCTTGGAAAAGCCAGGTCTGCCGTTTTGGGGCGGCAGGAGGGGAACAACGTTGAAGGATTTGGTGTGTGTGTGTGTGTGTGTGTGTGTGTGTGTGTGTGTGTGTGTGTGTG